TTACTCTCACTGAGAAGCGGTACTTCTGGTGCTCTTTCGAGCATTTTAGAAGGAGAATCATCTTCTAAGGGACTCCAAAACACTCTGTACAGCCGGTGTGGGTCAAAGGCAGGGCACAAGTCGTTGTCGCCGAAGTCTTTGACATGTGAGATGGGCACCACAGCCGTATGCTGATCGATGACCACTCTTGACCAGAAATCTGCTATTTCTTCCATGGCCGTTCCGCGATTACTACACACAAGGATAAACTTTCCTTTTCCTGAACCTTTCGGCGGAGGTCGCGTTCTGAACACTCACACACACAACACGTTGAGAACGAACTGGCTGGCTGGAGCAAGGCGAACGCGCCAGCTGACCGGCCCTACTTCCGCCAAGCTGCGTTCGAATCACCAGCCTAACCTGTCTTGTTTCTCTTGCTCTCGTAAAGACACACGGATGCTTCCGTCGTTTTCTGACGCAACTCCCGTCAAAACCCTGGACTGTGCGCAGGCGTTTCATAGCCACCACTCGAAAAAAGAAACAAAATCTCGCCACAGCGCAACAGCCAGCAGAAGCAGCGAGAACGAAATCGAAAGTCCGACAGCTGATCCACAATGTAAACAACTTCAGCGATACGGTCAAATTTTCATCGGAAAACTGTCGGGCTCGTTTTTCCATACGCACTGAAATCCCTCTTGTCTCAACGGTCAACCCATGCAAAACTGAGACACAGTTTTGGTCCACTTGCATTACGTTTTACTAACGAACAGTGGTCAATCAATGTTCCCAAGAAGAAGACCTGCACGATATAAAACATGGTTAGATCCCTCTAATAACGAGGAAATACCACCAACGACTGTTCGAGAGAATGCGAAAAGAAAACGACAGGCAGAGCAAGGTAATTTGGAACAGATGCAGATCTAAGGTTTGTTACTTTTATGTTTGATTTCAACTTTTAACCTCCATTAACCTATTTTGCAGAGCTTGGTCTTGAGAATAATGATCGAGAAACTGTACAAGATGTTGATGATGTTGAGAATGTTGAGCAGTTTGGTGAATGTAGAGATCAAGCCGCCAACCAGGTAACCCTTTTTATCAGTGTTTTTCAGAAATACATGCTTTTAATCAATTACTGTTATGGTTGGCTGAGCGATAGCGAAGCCCGTTACTCCAGTGCGGTTGAAAAGTTTTGTCTGTCTGTCTGTCTGTCTGTGTGTGTGTGTACACTACTCCTCCTGAACGGCTCGGCCGATCTGGCTGAGACTTTGCAGGCTTATTAGGTATGTTCTTGGCTCGGCACACGCGAAATTTCACTATCCTAGCTCAACTGGTTCAGTTTTTATAGCCGAAAAACACCTAAAAAACGGTGAAAAATCGAGTTTCCTGCAGGTAGATCACCTCTGTCTTGAAGAAAGGGGGGTCTGGGGGGCGGTGCCCCCCAGCTTCGACAAGTTAAAAAGTGACAAGGGTCAAGATCGTGTTATCTGTAGATGAAGCAACTCTATCTAGAATTAAAGGGGGTCTGGGGGCGGAGCCCCCCAGCATGCAACACGTAAGAAGTAACCGACGATGGACAAGCCAATGCCTGCCGAAGGCAGGCTAGCGCCGCAGGCCAAGGTAGGTACGCCAGGCGCGGATTGGAGGCCGCGAGACATCGCGAAGCCTGTTACGACAAGACGCGGTCTGGCGTAAACCTACCTTGTTAATAACCTCACGGAGTACTGCTTATTGTCGCGAACCCATTTCTGCGACGGATTCGAACCGCCCGCGCCGAGCTGCGCGCTGCCTCCGCTCGCCGCCTGACAAGTGGCGCGCCCTGCCGACCACCTGCCGAAACTCTCAGTCGAGCCGTGCCGTGCCACGCCACAGCAGTCGTCCGGTGAGAACCGCACAGTGAAGTCGTGCCGTGCCGTGCCTCCGTCAGCTCGTGCCGCGTCGCGCCGTCAAACCCAGACCGGCCGCGTGTGAGAAGGTTCTAGTCCAACTTCATCTGGATTAAGGCTCATCTACAATGGACGTAGGAGTAGGGAGTAAGGCTGGAGTAGTTCTACTGGTTCCGGTGGAGTAAGGCGTAAAGAAGGCGGAGTAGAGTTTGAACCAAATCCAATACGCACTCCTACTCCGCCCTTCGTTCGTACTCCACGCCATCGAGTTGCGCAATTTTTTCGGTTTCGGTAGAATATTAATCATAGTTAGGCATAATGAGTGATGTTGATTTCGACGAAGATGACGACAATGAAATGCTTGCTGAAGAGAAGGAGGATGAAATATTGGTGCTACGTGCGCTACTTAATTCTGTGAAGCCCTGCCCGGCACTGTACGCCAAATCAAAAAAAGAATATTCTGGCAAGAATTTTAATAAAGATCTAGCATGGGCAAGTGTGGGCCAAGCCCAGATTCCTCCTATCTCAGGTATTTGATCCAGGAAGCGGAAGAAGGGGATAACTCAGTTTTGGCCATTTTTCAGGAGAAACAAAAAACTGTTAGCAGGGAAAACTAAAACAAAACAAATAAATGTTGCAGATGTTAATAATTTCAAAAAGCATTAGTAAAATTTTGGAAAAAAATCAAAAGTGTAAGGTCACTGCGTAGAGGATTTCTGCGACTTATCACTTTCCGTTGAAATGGAAAACAGAGTCAGCTCACCTTATATTTCCTAAACAAAGTGGAATTTGGAGACAAGTCAAGTGGAACAATAGTCTACATAAAGTGTATGTTACTCTGGTGTATTTTTTGGACTTAGCTCTTTTTTCCAAATTGAAATTTAAAATTAAGGGGGGGTTAAGTTGAGTTGATTCTTTTTACACTAGATTCATAAAAACACAAGTTGAGTTATATCCTTTTGCCAATTTGTCAAACGGACTCATGTAGACTAAGGTTGAGTTATCTCCATTTTCCAATGAAATTTAGACTGTAAAAGGGGTTAAGTTGAGTTATACCCTTTTTCCATGTGGATTTTCTCCTAAACTGCTTGGAATTCAGTCAAATAATTTGGTCTAATGATGTAAACCATTCTAAGGCACAATAATAAAATAAAAACTCAACTTGGGGATAAGTCAAGTTATTCCCTTCTTCCGCTTCCTGGATCATTTTTCACTGACATTCTCTATTTTATCATAATTAGGGCTTGACAGTTGGGACTAGGTTAGGTTGACCTTTTCGATAACTTTTTTAATTTTTCAGGTAAAGATGCTAAAGATGCATTCTATAAAGTGCGTCAACGATTCGGGAAAGAATGGCGCAAATATTTGGCCCATCAAAAGGGGAAGTCAGGGCAGGGGGCTAGTGCTCCATTCACTTCGACGTGGGCGTTGTTTGATGATTGTCGGTTTCTTGGAGATCACATTACACCAAGAAAGTGAGTGCAGACTCTTTTTTACCTTGTTTTAAACAATGTGCCTAGATATAACGTCTTTTTCGTTCTTCATAACTGCAGAACAAACTCGTCCTACAAGTCTACAGCAACAACACCTGTCGTGAAGACTTCGCAGGCCAAGAGAAGTCTTTTGAATACATCAAGCTCTTCTATGTCACCTTGTGACATCACAACATCATCCCTGTGGAACAGTGACCTCCAAATTTTGACTTGTATGTATTGCTCAACCACTATCACATGAATTAACAAACCAATCATGTTTTTATCGCACATTCAATTTTTAAGGTACTACTTCCAATCCTGAAGAAAGTACTGCTCCCTCCACGCCAACAGGACCAACAGCTTCCGAGCAAGTAATGAAAGCAATGGAAAAGGCTGTAAAATCTTCCAAGCGCATTCCTGAAGCAGATAACTTTGCAACCAAACGGCAGAGATCCGACAAAGAATTTATGGATACCATGGTTGCCCAAGGAAATGCCCAAACTAAAGTTGCCTGTGCTTTTGGGAAAGCACTGGAAGCACCAACACCTGCTGCACCTCCAGTTCTGCAGCCAGAGTCATGTCCTGTTGTGGTAGCGATCAAGTATGCGATGGAGTCTGTGCCTGAAGACCAGAAGCTGCCATGTTTGACAGACGTTCTTCATCTGATTTCTACTAAGTATACAAAGAAATAGTGTGAGGTTTTCACCTGCATCATGCATTGAGCATTTATTGATGAGGGTTGACTAATAATGCCAAAGTACAATTTATTATTTCTATTCATAGTTTATTTAACATGTTATTTCTTCATAACAAAATAGTCATTTATTTTTCATGATCAATATAAATTGATAAAGAAATTAATTATTAACATAGGCATTGAGCAATAAGTTGATCTCAAAATGTATAAATGATCCAGGAAGCGGAAGAAGGGAATAACTTGACTTATCCCTAAATTGAGTTTTTATCTTATTATTGTGCCTTAGAATGGTTTCCATCATTACAGCAAATTATTTGACTGAATTCCAACCAGTTTAGGAGAAAATCCACAGGGAAAAAGGGTATAACTCGACTTAACCCCTTTTACGGTCTAAATTTCATTGGAAAATGGAGATAACTCAACGGAAGTCCACATGAGTCCGTTTGACAAATTGGCAAAAGGATATAACTCAACTTGTATTTTTATGAATCTAGTGTAAAAAGAATCAACTCAACTTAACCCCCCCTAAATTTTAAATTTCAATTTGGAAAAAAGAGCTAAGTCCAAAAAATACACCAGGGTAACATACACTTTATGCACACTATTGTTCCACTTGACTTGTCTCCAAATTCCTCTTTGTTTAGGAAATATAAGGTGAGCTGACTCTGTTTTCCATTTCAACGGAAAGTGATAAGTCGCAGAAATCCTCTACGGAGTGACCTTACACTTTTGGTTTTTTTCCAAAATTTTGCCAATGCTTTTTAAAATTATTAACATCTGCTACATTCATTTGTTTTGTTTTAGTTTACCCTGCTAACAGTTTTTGGTTCCTCCTGGAAAATGGCCAAAATTGAGTTATCCCCTTCTTCCGCTTCCTGGATCAAATGAAATGTAAGACTGAACACTTTTCTCTGTGATGATAAAGGAAAAAATAAACAAGACTGATTGTCACTGAAAAAAAATGTCTTACTGCTCCATGTTCAAATCATGGCCCCGCAATGCTCTTCGGGCTTGCCATTGGCATTGATCGTAGCCAAGCTCCGAGTTGATGTAGGCTTGAAGGTAATCTCTCATGCCGACTGCAATGTGATTAGATCTGTTTCCTCCAGCTCGGCCGAGGTCTTGAAAGTAGGGAGAAATAACTTCCCTCCAACGCCCCTCTGTGACAGTGCCATCTGGTCGCTCAACATCAACAAAATCAGCTGGAGCATACATTCTATCCGCAGCATTCTTCATTTCTTCTGACATCATCAGAAAGTTGTGGAGACAGACTAAAGCCTTGAAAACAGCTTCTAAATTATCAGGACTCATTGAAAGTGGCTTTTGCAAAAGCAGCCACCTAGCAGCCAAAATTCCAAAACTATTTTCAATGGTCCGCCTGGCACGAGAGAGTCTATAATTAAATATGCGCTTTTCATCTGTCAATTCTCTTTTTGGATATGGGCGCATCATGTATTTTGTCAGTGGAAATGCTTCATCACCAACAAAAAAGTAAGGGAATGGCACATTCATTCCCTGCAATGGTGTTGGATCAGGGAGATTCATTCTATTGGCTTCCAGGTCTGCAGCTAAGTCAGGGTTGGACCAAACTCCACCATCACTAATTGAACCTGAACAAATACATAAATTATGTTTTATAAATGTAGTCCATGAAGATATCTTGATAATGATAACGGCCTAGATACTTACCATATTGACCTATGTCAATCCAAGTAAATTTGTAATTTGCATCACAGGTAGCAAGTAAAACCATGCTGAAAAAACCTTTGTAATTGTACCAGTTAGATCCAGAATTCGGAGGAGCCTTGATTCGCATGTGTTTTCCATCCATCGCACTAATGCAATTAGGAAACTGCCACTTTTGCTGAAAACCATCCGCTATTTTTTTCCACTCTTCTTTGTCAGGAAATTTGAGAACAGTGGGTTGCAGTGCTTCCCAAATTGCCCGGCTTGTCTCGTGGATTATTTGGAACACAGTTGATCGTCCAATACGGTATTCAGCATGTTGGAGTTTAGCTGTAATGCCTTGAGAAAAGAACCTGAGAAATAAAAACGAAAATAAAATCTTCTTTTTAAAAATAATTAAGGTAAACAGAATAAAATTGTACTTACATGAGAGTCACCGCAAGACGAAGCTTAGTTGGTAATGGAGTCCGAATGCTGTGTTTTTCAAGGAAGGGATGAACAAAATTTACCAATAAATTAAATTGTTCTGGTGACATGCGGAATAGGTCAAAAAATTCCTCATGGTCGGTGGTCATCAGCTCAGTGAAGAGGTTATTGTAGAAGCCGTGGGCCACGCGCGGTCGATTCACGGGCCGAACCCACCAACGCCGACGTGGCAGACGTTTCCACATCTTCCAAACATGGTAGCGACCAGCCATGTTGCTTTGCAAAGCCAGCAAAAACATCAAAACCATTCCTAGTCGCCTCAAATCCATTTTGACAGAGTTGGAACGCAAATCGCAGTTGACAGCAGAAGACACAGTAAACATAAACAACCGCCTTGCAGGCACCTACAACGTTCTGGGTTCTGATTGGCTAGGGGCCGCGCTCTACTCCATTCCATTGTGGACACGAACCCCGGAGTAGAGAGTAATTTGACAAACTACTCCCTACTCCCTTACTCCCTACTCCCCACTCCAACGTCCATTGTAGATGAGCCTTTACTGCACTCCAAGTCAATCTGAGATGCCGCCGGCTTTCTTCATGTCACCTCCGCGCCCTCGCCTTCACGCCCTTCGGGTTAGTACGGCAAACCCACACCACAGCTCGGTTCGGTTTGTTTTGGTTTGAGCTAATTTATTTAATACGTGCAACGCCTTCCCATGACCCCCTCCGATTTTGACCAAAATTTTTTTCTGAGATGCCCTTATGGTAAGAAAAAACATCCTAAAATATTAGGTCGCTAAAAAATTTATTGGCCGAGAAAACCAATGTTTTCTAAATTTGCCACTTTTTTTACCTAATTTGGGAGTTTCTTTACTACTTTGAGGTTTTTGGTGCTAAGTGGCTGAAAATCAGTATTCTTAGGTAAAATTGCCCAAGGAACAAGAATATGGTCACAGATTTGATCTACGACCGATATCTTCAGAAATACTTACCCAAAACGACCAAATTTTACTGAAAATACCCAAATTTTGGGGAAACGGTCAAAAATATTTTTTATCCACGATCCGTTGACGCCATGTTGTAGAAAAAGAGCTAATAAAGCTAATGAGCACACGCCCAGGTTCGTAGCTCAAACCGTTTAGGAGCTGTAAGGCGTCAAAGTTGGAGGTTTTTTGAGGGGGCCTGAAAACCGGCACTTTTGACCTCTGCGCTCAATGTCCGGCACCCGAGCCGTACCAGCCATGATCCTTGCTTTCGAGGTGAGGTCTGCGTGCGCAATGGGAGCCAAGAAGAGGGTGAAGCGGCACAGCGTTTCTGAACAGGGTCCTCTTTAGAGCGCCTGAACAGCCGAGGGTTGGTAAGCTCACCAAACGGCGCTTGGAAAGCACTTGCTGCACCGTGGGCTCGCTCAAGGCCACGAACAATGCTATTCGGTGTAAGTCTCAAACTGTCGCCCTCGACAAGCTTCGGATTCTGTTGGCTGCCCCTTCCTTCTCTCTCTTTCCCACATGGTCCAAAGCCGTTGCCCCGACCCCTCAACCTGCCCCCAATACCGGATATATTTTGTGTTGTTTCAGATGAATTTCAAGCTTTTTGTCGGAAGCTGTCGCCCTTTGGTAAGCTTAGGAAGTTCTTCGGAATCTGTCAGCGTTTCCCCGGCGGTTTTCTCGCTTTCCCAACCCTGAGGGGTCGGGGGCGAGCTTACCAAAGGGCGACAGCTTCCGACAAAAAGCTTGAAATTCATCTGAAACAACACAAAATATATCCGGTATTGGGGGCAGGTTGAGGGGTCGGGGCAACGGCTTTGGACCATGTGGGAAAGAGAGAGAAGGAAGGGGCAGCCAACAGAATCCGAAGCTTGTCGAGGGCGACAGTTTGAGACTTACACCGAATAGCATTGTTCGTGGCCTTGAGCGAGCCCACGGTGCAGCAAGTGCTTTCCAAGCGCCGTTTGGTGAGCTTACCAACCCTCGGCTGTTCAGGCGCTCTAAAGAGGACCCTGTTCAGAAACGCTGTGCCGCTTCACCCTCTTCTTGACTCCCATTGCGCACGCAGACCTCACCTCGAAAGCAAGGATCATGGCTGGTACGGCTCGGGTGCCGGACATTGAGCGCAGAGGTCAAAAGTGCCGGTTTTCAGGCCCCCTCAAAAAACCTCCAACTTTGACGCCTTACAGCTCCTAAACGGTTTGAGCTACGAACCTGGGCGTGTGCTCATTAGCTTTATTAGCTCTTTTTCTACAATATGGCGTCAACGGATCGTCGATAAAAAATATTTTTGACCGTTTCCCCAAAATTTGGGTATTTTCAGTAAAATTTGGTCGTTTTGGGTAAGTATTTCTGAAGATATCGGTCGTAGATCAAATCTGTGACCATATTCTTGTTCCTTGGGCAATTTTACATAAGAATTCTGATTTTCAGCCACTTAGCACCAAAAACCTCAAAGTAGTAAAGAAACTCCCAAATTAGGTAAAAAAAAGTGGCAAATTTAGAAAACATTGGTTTTCTCGGCCAATAAATTTTTTAGCGACCTAATATTTTAGGATGTTTTCTCTTACCATAAGGGCATCTCAGAAAAAATTTTTGGTCAAAATCGGAGGGGGTCATGGGAAGGCGTTGCACGTATTAAATAAATTAGCTCTTTGCGACTGAGCTTTCAACCTCGTTCTCGCTCCAGGGCATGCAGTCCACCCGGTTGCGTCGAGAAGTCATGGGCTAGGCGAGCCACGCCACTGCCCTGCCGCCTGATGAATCCCTGAGAACCCCGTCGCCCCGCCAACACCAACATGTGCCCCATCTTCCACCGTCAGCGTCGTCCAGCTGCCCGCCGCTCGCTGGCTGGCCGTCCACGCCACTGTCGCCCTCCGTCGTCGCATGCGCCGAGGCGTCCCGCCTCTTAAAGTGTCGTGACAGTGAAATGTGCTAGTGATGTGTCAAAGTGAAAGGAGTCTTTAGTGTCATTGAGCCTTTAGTGCTAATTTTCTAGTTTCCTTGTCTGTTTGGCTCGTCCAAGAAGGCTCGTCCTGTGACAACTGGATTTAATTAAATAATATTATTGTACATTCTACCCCCTTGTCTTATATTTTCTTCAATTATTCAAATATTTCAATTGGTCTACATACCCAACTGCTGCAAGCCTAGTTGATCCCGGTTTTCTCCAGCAACATTTTTGTACCAGCTTCAGTAGAGTATTAATGTAGTCACAATTTGGGGGTCCGTCCGGGATTGTTGCTATTGTTGTTCATTGTCATTTTTCTTGCAATCCAGTCCAATCCAGTTGTTGCTTTTGTATTGTTCAATCCTTGCCAGCAATTGATCCAGGAAGCGGAGGGGATAACTCAATTTTGGCCATTTTTCAGGAGAAACAAAAAACTGTTAGCAGGGAAAACTAAAACAAAACAAATGAATGTTGCACATGTTAATAATTTCAAAAAGCATTAGTAAAATTTTGGAAAAAAAATCAAAAGTGTGAGGTCACTCCGTAGAGGATTTCTGCGACTTATCACTTTCCGTTGAAATGGAAAACAGAGTCAGCTCACCTTATATTTCCTAAACAAAGAGGAATTTGGAGACAAGTCAAGTGGAACAATAGTGTGCATAAAGTGTATGTTACTCTGGTGTATTTTTTGGACTTAGCTCTTTTTTCCAAATTGAAATTTAAAATTTAGGGGGGGTTAAGTTGAGTTGATTCTTTTTACACTAGATTAATAAAAACACAAGTTGAGTTATATCCTTTTGCCAATTTGTCAAACGGACTCATGTAGACTACGGTTGAGTTATCTCCATTTTCCAATGAAATTTAGACTGTAAAAGGGGTTAAGTTGAGTAATACCCTTTTTCCAAGTGGATTTTCTCCTAAACTGCTTGGAATTCAGTCAAATAATTTGGTGTAATGATGTAAACCATTCTGAGGCACAATAATAAAATAAAAACTCAATTTGGGGATAAGTCAAGTTATTCCCTTCTTCCGCTTCCTGGATCAATTGTTTCAATCGCTGTAGTTAAGGTGCGTTCACGCTCGTATCGCGTCCGTGTCGCGTTGGTGGCGGAGAGTGGCGGTCGGGACATTAGCAGACGACGTGCGAGACAAACAATGGACAGGGAGACAGCTGGAAATGGCGCGTGCGGGCCAGTGGGGTGGCACAGAGCCCTAACCCGGTGTTGCGAGGACTAGATCCATTACGTACATTCGAATTTAAACCCTAGGTGCCTCGAATACAGTCCAACATAGTGAAAAAGTGCCGATGAACAACAGTTGTGTCAACCTACTGCGGGATCCAGCCGGCCGTGGACACAGACGGCGGCGAGCGGCGACGGCTCCAAGGCTCCGACTCCGAACCGTACACTGTTAAAAATAAAGTTGTAATTTAGCAGTAAATATGTTGCTAATTTTCTGAATGATTTAAGTCGTTTCCAAATGACTTTAGTTGTTTACAAACGACTTGCGTTGTTCGTCAACAAGATGGTTGTAAACCAGTAGACAGCCTTATTTGCATCAATTTTGATTGCCGATTAGGTCACCGACCTAGTGAAGTCCCAGTGACCCGCAGTTATCACTTCTTAGATTGTCCGAGTTGTTTGAACACAGCAAAATATTGTTTTGAAACAGCATAAGTCAGAAAAATAATTAGCAACGAATTTGTCGTTTTAAAACAAGAAAACTTGTTTATAAACAACAGCGTTGTCGAGGTTGGTTATTGTGTTGTTGTTTTAAAACAACCATTTTCAACAGTGTAAGTGGTGGGGATGGAAGCAGCCGGCCGGAGGGGAGGAGGGGCAGGGGGGAAGCCCACCAGCCGCCCAGCTGAGCGATTTAACGGTGGCGGCGATGCGTTCGTTTGGTCGCTCCGTCTCTCACACTAAATTTTCTACGAAGAAATGTGGCTGGTAAGCTACGGAGAAATATTTTCCTTCGTATGCTACAATGAAAATTGATAATTTCATTGGTAATACGGATGAAGTCAAGCCAATTCATAAAGAACTATAATTTACGGTGAGGCCTCTTCGTATGGAGAAAAAAAGGAATTGGTAAGATACGAATGGGAGTCTGCTCTCTGCCGATGTTGGTAGAGTACGAAGAAAGTTAGAAAACAATCCGTATGCTACAAATCATTAAAATGTAAAAATGGCCTTGAAAATTTAGAACAAATGGGATATCACTTTTCTCTCCCTACACAGCTAAAGATGAGTTTTCACACATCAACATCATATCTTTGAGAGTTGAAGTATCACCTGTAGGAATTAAAACTGAAGCAGACTATATTAGCCCTACT